TCATTGACTTTGAAAACATCCATTTATTGGAGAAAGAAAATGTGACCAGTATATTTTTAACAGTTGATTACCCTGAACTTTAAGTATAATTCAACTGAAAAACCAAAAAAAAAAAAAAAAAAGTGATAACAATAATAAAAAAAGAATGGTTTTATTTCGATTACGTTGTTTTCGTAATCGTTGCAAGCCATAATCGTAATCGCGATTAAAATACGATTAATTGAGCAGCCCTAATAGAGGTAGATGTTTCCCTTTGATTCAACTACTTTTACTAAGCTTAGTCAATGGTCTGGTGGTGTACCTCCATATATAGCGTAAAAACTAAAGAAAGGTATTGATCCTATTTCCGTACTCTCTGCAAATAAGCATATTTCCCAACATGTCAGACAATTCCCTTTTAAACATTTAAAAGAAGAAAATAGAACATAGAACATGTTGTCCTAGTCGGTTTAAGATGTTGTTTTCCATAAGATTCATTTATTTAAAACTACTCTATATGTATCTCGGAGTTTATTCATGCTGTTTTTATGATTCAGCATTTGTTACCAAGCCTCTTGTACACACTGCGAGCCTGTCACTTATATCAATAATCTTTCTCCAGATTTGCTGACTCATCCTTTAAGTATTACATGGTTCCTTGTTTGCAGCGAGTAGCCGAGAGTACTTGTCACAGTTTCTCAGTGTCCGGCCTTGTATTACTGTACCTGATGTATTAACATCAATATATACACATTCAAGGTGCACAGCAACTCTGCTCGTAATTCAAGTTTGTTTGAGTACTGTGACCTCATTTGAAGTTTTGACTGTGCTGATTAAGGCTTATCACTCACCGTATACAAACAGAGTCTCATTAACATGCTTTCTTTATTTTATAAGAGGGCTGACTAGCAAACACACTAGTGTTGTTGTTCTGCTCTTGAGCTAACTTTGTGCCTCTGTGTGTTTCTCAGACCTCCTGGTGGACATGCTGGGAGTCATGGCCAGTTACAGCATCACAGTGAAGGAGCTGAAGCTGCTCTTCAGCATGCTGAGGGGAGACAATGGCATCTGGGTAAGCGGGTGGACAACTGAAAAAGTGTTTAGCGTGTATCAGTTTTTTTTTCTATCAGTATGGCATCAGGAATATTTTAGTTTGCAGGTACTGGCAAAATAAACACCGATACAACATCATTATTATTATTATATGTTGGGATGTAGACACGCATATATACTATACATACATTTAAATAGAAATGTCTAATGCTATACAATATTTGAAGTCCTTCCACTCCAATGTGAGAGGAAGCTGCAAACCCCCGACGTGGCTCTAATGGCATCAGAATCATTTATAAAACTCGTTTTGATGTTCCTGGTCAGTTAACTAAAGCTATATAATAATACAATACCATATTTTAAAGTAAAAGTAAAAGCAACATTTCACTTCACAGATTTATTCTGCACATTTCTTTCCAATGTTCTGATAATTATGTTATTTCACTATTTAGGCTTTAACTGTTTTTAAATCAAGAGAATGCTGCAAAAAAACAAAAACAATTACATTTTCTGGTTTGCCAGCGGTCTACAATTAAAAGTCCGGGAAGCTACATTTATTTTATACCCAATTATGCAGCATGAGCTTGTTTGTATGTCATTAGTCTGGATGTGACTGAATGGATGGTTATTCTAATGGACTAGAATAATAGGGGATGGTTGTGTATCTGTGTGTGTGTCTGTTTGTCTGTTTGGAGTGATTTTCGAGTGTATGACAAGACAAGGGCAATTAAGATCACGTGTAGCATTTTTTGTATTCTCGTAATCAGCTTAATTAATGCAACAAAGGTTTGAGTTAGTTAATTTTTGTGAGATTGATAGAGCAATGATGAAAAAACAATGCGACTTAATCAGCTGTGAAGATAAAATCTGTATTGTTCCCTCCAGGTGAACCCCTTTGGGAAGGTTGACATGTTATCAGCAGACACACATTCTCTCTCCTGATTATTTAATGCCTATGTATTATCAGCACACCCTTTAACTCACAATGCACGGGCAATATTTAATAAACCTTTTTATTTTCTCTTGTAGTTTCTCTGAAATTACAAAATACCCCCATATGTATAAAAACGACCCAAACATTATTCAATATTTATATTCCGCTTTTAATTGAAGAATTATCCAAATTCTTTGGAGATAAAAAAGGTCTTGTAGTTCCTGGTTCATGTTTATTGTACATTTAGAGCTACATCATTAAGCGATTTGTTCAGCATCGGGAGTTCTTAGTTTAAATTCCACTCACAGTGCCACTTATTGTCGCCATCTTTACCGCTCCCTGCTGCTTGCTGATTGGCCCTGCCGGCAGCCGATGAGTTTAGTTGACGTTTTGAAACAGACACATGGGATGGTTGTGAGAGGCTAAAGCTACCCTGCTCATTTGTAGGGTTAGCGAGGTGTACACCCTAAAAGTTGCTGGTGTGCACAAGTCAATACGCCGTCGTCCCTTCTCGTTAATGTCCCCTGTACTGAGGCTCCGGGACAACCTCACTGTTCACTGATCAGGGATCCATGGCGAGACCCTCATCCATCCGTCCAGCCCTCTCTCTCTACCTTCTCTATGCAAATTACAGACCAGTTTCCCTGACAGTAGTATGTTGTAAACTCCTGGAACACATCATTTGCAAACACCTGTTGAATCACCTGGAAAGGCTTATGCCTTTCCAGGTGATTCAACAGGTGTTTGCAAATGATGTGTTCCAGGAGTTTACAACATACTACTGTCAGGGAAACTGGTCTGTAATTTGCATAGAGAAGNGTGTGCCTTGGCAGTCTCATCAGGACAAAAAGTGAGCAAATATTTTTCCCTGAAACTTTCAGAATATATTTACACAGAGGGGACACATGTTGATGTATAAAAGACATGAAAAAGTAGATTTTGCACAATAGGTGACCTTTAAGATGCAAGAAAACCCATTCCATGTTTGCTTCACCTCTCCCCATACCCACAATCCCCTTCTCCATCATTTATTTTTAATAGGAAGGTGTTTCTTTCCGTTTGTTATTGTTATCCCCCTGATGATAGTTGATAAATGCTCTCGGATGCAGCTAACATGATGTGGAGATGCGGCCTGATGTAACTGCATTAAGCCTCACATGATGGAGGGGAATCAAGGCAATCTCGGAGCGAGAAAAACACTCCAACTTTCTCAAAGCGGCTCAACGCTCCAGGGAAAACAACAAAACACTTCTTTCTTTCACACGTACATACCCTGCTCTCTACTTTCAGTTATTTCTAGCCTGCGGCATAATTGCAATTTTGCTCCTTCAGATAGAAGACAATTATCAGACGTAGAAAACTCGTCTTTATCAAATTTCTCTCATAGTCTCTTTGTTCTCGGTTGTTACTGGGTCCATTCCAGGATCAGCGTCAGTACATTTTGCACATACATTTTAAAAAAATGCAGGAAAAAAATTATGTTTTAGCTTATTTACGGTACTAGAAATGATTTGTATTGTCTTTATCAGTGAACTGCTTGCAGCCACTGATTTTTGTTTTTGATGTTTAGAACACCACTCACCAGACTGTGGTGTCCACGCTGCAGTCATTGAGCTGTTTGTAGTCCAGCTGAGCGAAGAGAGGGAACAGCACCTGGATGCCTCCTATAGAGTGGATGGCACTGTGGATGGAGTGGGTAACAATGGCCTTCACATCCTGTGGGAGGGAAATAGACTGTTAGGGCTCTCAAAGACTATACTGTACTATACTGTATGTGCACAGACACACAGATACAATCGCTCACTGCCAATAAAACATAACTCATATCCGACTTACAGTTGAACATCTACAGTAGGTCTCATATACAGCATTACTTCATTACCAAACTTAGTTTTGTTTGCCAAATTTTGGGATTCGAACGCAAGAATCAAGAGAATTTGGGATCATGTGTTGTACACATACTTGCCAACCTTGAGACCTCAGAAATCGGGAGCATTTCAAAACCACCGCGGGGCGGGGTGCTAGTGGATCGCCGGAGCTGTATTAGGATAACATTAACAAGCTTGTTGTAGTTGTAAGTGTGTGTGAGTGGGCAGAGGGTAGAGTTGTCGATTCTTGTTCTGTTTTCTGTGACTATCTTCCTCACCCTCTCAGACTTTCAGTTGCACGTGCTACTAAAGAGACGTGCTACTAAAGAGACGTGCTACCATGGAAACCAAACAATGGTGTAGCTGTATTAAAGTCCGAGTGGAAACAGTCCTGAGTAAATCTGATTTTGTCAGAAATCGGGAGAAATCGGGAGAGGGCAATGAAATCGGGAGTCTCCCGCGAAAATCGGGAGGGTTGGCAAGTATGGTTGTACATGAATCGTATTTGCCACTGTCTTTACCTGCAGTACAGCGTGTAGTATAGGGCCATGGGAGGCTCTGAGATGTTTGATAAGGGAAATTGCAATACCAACCAAAAGTAAGATCATTATTGGAGTTGATCTTAAACCTCAAAACTCAGTAACCCTGAACACGTTTAAAGCTCTGGTGACATCTATTGAATCAAGGTTATCCGTGTGCAAATGTTTATACTGATCTTTTGATCTTATTCAAATGGGTTTTAAAAGGAATTGCTGAAGCTCTTTGTTGCTGATATTATTGGCATGTTCTCCCCTCGTCAAATAGGTCTTTGAACTCAATAGGATGAACCTGGTTAAATAAAGTGTGAATAGCCCTGATTTACAGTGGATGTACAGAGCTATCCTTCTTCTTTTCCCTTTTCATAAGTCTTCTATTTGAAATGTAATCCATGATGCTATAGTGCAATGAAAACATTATTATGGATTTCAAACATAACTTTTTACATGTTTTTGTTAATTCAATAATTATTATAAAACTTTGATTTAGCTGCAAAGGGCATCTGTTTGAATCAAGGAACCAAGTGGAATGTGCGACCTCTATTATAACTGAAATAACTAGCCACCAAAAAACTCAATTGGTGCCTGAATGACTGGTGCAATTTATTTTGCACTAAAGAAGAATCAGCAACCAGCCTTGAAAAAATAACTATTGGCAAAAGTACAAGTAATATCTACAAAAGAGAAAGTTGAATAAAAGGGAAAAGACTCTAAGCAAAAATGTTGAGCATTAAAACATTGGTATTTACTGCAGGGTACATATTTGTCTATCTTTTACATTTCTATTGAACTGATGTTCTTCTGTAGAAAGCACCACATCTTTTTCAAGCAGGATGAAAACTCCAGATTTCTCCTTAATACAATTGAGGCGAGTGTGAGTCAGCCTGTGACAAACTAGGCTGATAATCAGACTAAACTGACATTTAATTTCACATCAATCATTCATACTTGAATAGGCTGACGATTGAGCGGTGAATCAGAGCTCTGTAACCAGGCAAGTGACGAGCAGCCACTCAGAGGAGTCCAGCAGACTGACCTGTAGCATGAGAGCGTGCGGTGAGTGGACGAAGATGGAGGCGTTTTCCCTCGGCGACGACTCCAGGCAGAGCTGCGCGTCCGTCGCCTTGGCGTTGTAGGTGAAGGAGATGGAGTTGGCCAGCTTGCCATCGTACAACACCTGCTTGTGGTGCTCGGCCAGGTGGATGTCACTCTCCGACTTGAACTTGAAGGTGCTCTGCAATGATGGAGGGAGAAGAGGTTGTGTGAGAAAAACTTTAAAAACAAGGAGACAAATGACTTGTCCAGAGACGAGGGAAGTGTGTGTCTGTGTGTACAAGTTAAACACCCAAAATGGAGCCTGCTTAATTGCAGCATGAGCCCTGTGTAAAAAACACAGCATTAGCTTAATGAACACAGCGCTAACACAGGCACTAATTCAATTAGCTCAGAATAAGTGATGGAAAGGGCCGGATGTGTGGGAGAGAGGCGACTTGATCTCCAAATGTTCCTCCTCTCTTTTTAGCCAAACAAAATAATACACGAGAGTACACAGACAGACACATGTGCTTCTCAATTTCATAACATGTAACAATTGTTTCTCTTGTAATCGTCATACTTGAGAGGATTCTTGTACTGACCAACAACAGTGACACATCTCCTCTCTTTTTAGTCTATATTATTTTATATATTCAATTTCATAACAAGCAACAATTGTAGCTTTTTTCAACTTTTTTCCAATGAAATCTTAAAGGTTTTTTCATGGACTACTTTCCTTGTAATTTTCATACTTGAGAGGATTCTTGTACTGACCAGCAACTGACTGACACATCTGTGGAAACGTCTTGTCTTACTTAAAAGAGAAACATATTTTGTAGGCAGTGTAGGATGCTTTTAGTGTGTTCAGAGTTCTGGGGGTCCATATGTCTTGAAGCTGGCTGATACACACATGGAGCCCCGCCAATGAGAGGCCAGCTATTTGCTCCGTAACCCTTCGCATCAGCTCCAGGAAAGGGCCCCCTTGGAGCACCTGCGTCCCATGATGCCTTGCTCAGCCTGACTGCACAGGAAAGCCCCGGGCTGCTCACAGACCTGCAGGCCCGGCGTGTTCTGAACCTTTCATCTCAGGTCTGCTGTAGAACATGAGCCCTGAGCTGTTTTATCCACCATGCCGCACAACATTTCAAACTGAAGCAAAGAGTGTTGCGTACAATGGAGACAATAAAGACAACATCCCCTCCACAGCGTAACGTCCTCATCTTGGTCCAGGAGCTGAATACTGCTTCAAACCCCTGATCTTTTACTGCCTTCCCATTATCGCATCAATTGTAAAACAAAAAGCTTACTTATAACTATAATCTAAATCTGAAGCACACTTTCCACACATATTGTTGCCAACAGAATATTATTTACGAGAGTAATTTCAACATAACAGGGCAGAACAGCAATATGATCTGATTTGAGATCATATTTCTTTTGTGAAATACAAGAGCTGATGTTAAAAATGTATATTAAACAAAGGTGTGAAAATGCTCATTCATTTAAAGTAACCTAGAAAACTGCAGCCAAGTGCAAGGATAATCAATCACAAACACAAATAAATTGCTCTAAGGTTTATTTTTGAAGGTTAGTGGGCCCTCCGCACAAAGAAAACACTGAATAGCCTGAATATTAAAATGCACCTTTCCTGCTGTGTAAGCCCATTGATTGTGGTGCATTTATGAAGTGTGTGTACTTGTGTACTGTATGTTAAGATGTGGCTGCGGAAATGTGAGCATGTATTTATGATACCGTGCTAAGCGACGGTATCTGAATGTGTAGCCAAGGAGGAGCTTTGCTGACTCTTTGAAGTATTAAGAAATGTACTACAAAGGCATTCAGCAGGCTACATAAAAGGCATGCAAGTGAGAAAAGTGCAAATGTAACAAATGTAAATCTTTACACAACACGCTTAAAAACAAGTGTGTCCCTGACCGATTTGGACAAACACACGCAGAGGAATAAAGTAACAACTCAACATTTGTCACACCTGACAGCTGCAGTTACGACCCTGGCCTTCAGTGATAACACCACACCCACACACACATGCTCACACACTTCTACTCTATTTACTGTAGCTCAGCCTCGGACTGCGAAGTGGTGTCTCCAAAGCAAGTTCTCTCAAATGTGGCATACCCGTTGTAACACGTATTTTTGCAAATGATGGAGGTTAGAGTCACCAGAGATAAGTTGGGTATCATTCAAACATTTTCAAGATAGAATGCATTACAGATTTGTAGCTTTGATTATTGGTACTGATACCAAACAGCCATGCAATAACTTCATATATGATATCAAATTGATTAATGAATAGATAAAACCTATTAAAAATGTGATCGTGGTTTTTAGGATAGTTATCCCTATTTTGTGCCGAGGACTCAAGTCATTCATTACCAAACTGAGCCCCATAAAAAACATTTTTAGGCAACAATCCTATGAACATTTATTAAAATGCACTAAACAAGAGTATTTCCAATAATGGTATTATAAAACCTGAGGAATACACACAGCAGGCGATACACAAATGCAGGTGTCCAGATAAGAGTCACACGGTCCATTAAGTGCGTTATGGCCAGATTGCTGGCAGTTCACCGCAATGAGGACATCTGGACTCCGGATGAAGAGTGCAACCAGCAACACACTGAACAACATGAGAGAGAGGACATTAACAGAACACACACACACACACACACACACACACACACACACACACACACACACACACACACACACACACACACACACACACACACACACACAAATGATAACATGCACAGGGCGGTCCAAATGCTGTGAGACATGGGGACTTATGAATTGATATAATGGAACCACTGGGAACTTTGTTAGACAGTGCAGCAATTCTACTGGGTCAGCATATACTGCAGAAGGCCATCTCATCAAGTGAATGTGTGTTTATGTGTGCAGAGCGGTAGCAGAATGCTGACAGCGCGGCAGAGTGGCAGTGTGCAGGTCTTAATTGACAGAACTTATCTACACTCATCAACACTCCTGGTGAGAGCGCGGCAGATAGAAGAAGAGAACAGCAGCACACTTTTGATGCCGTCTCATCTCAACAAGTGGCACAAGGTTACCAGAGTCTGTGCAGAATAAAACACATTAACTGAGTAGTTTGGTTTGTGTGTGCTTTTCTTACCTTGCGAGGCTGGAAATCATATTTCACACAGTGCTGGAAGCCTTTTCCTTTCGACTTCAACGATGTCACGATGAGACAGTTTCCCACAAAGTGAGCAGAGTAACCTATTCCTTTACTGGTGCGAAAACTGCAAAACAAATTCAGACACTCATTTCAGTTTGTTATCGATAAAAGACTAGGGTTTCAAAACATGGCTTTCAGTTCAAAACTAAGGGCTCTAAATCAAAGTGATGTTGGCTCTTCTTAATGAATGGTCGAACGGTTTCTTTACATTGGAGTGAATATGAATGACTTGACACTTTTGAATGAATGGTACAAAAAAAATAAAGCAAACACTTGTCAAATATATTACATATTGACTTTGTTGTCTGGTTTGATTTGTCAGACCAGTTGTTTTGTAAATAATATTTTTATTTCAGCAAGCTATCACTAGCAAAAGGTGAACTACATCAAAAGGAAGTTAACCATCTTTTCACAGACAAAACTGTTACAAAAGAAAATCCTGCCAAAAAAAAACAAAAGAAGCGCACCTTTCACACTCACAGAACACACGTTTAAGCAAATACAAGTCATAAAAAGGCAGATTTTAAAGTGTTTTCTTTGCAGCAGCACAATGGGTCCCAGATCACAGGTTTGCGGAGAAACACAACTAATCCTCTTCCCTCTATTTCCCCCCCATATTGTTTCTCTCCCCGCACTGGTAAACTCCATGTATGTAAAGCAGTCTGGCAGCTAAGCTTCTTCACAAAAACAACAAGGCACATTTGACTTAAAAAAAAAAGGGGGCCCAGAAGGATCACACACATAGTGGAGCCAGAGAGCAGATATAAATCCCTCTTGAGAGAATCCCTGGTGCACGTTAGAGAGCATGTAGTGTGTTATCGCGGCCTTCATGCAGCCGTGGAGACGCCATACTGTAAGACAGGCGGCTGGAGGAGCAGCTGCATCTGGGGGAGGATGATAAGACCTGGGCTCTCGTTCCACACTTACCATGACAACTTGACAAGCGGTTACTAGGGCAACATGATTACATCCTGACATTCTCCATGATCAGAGCTCATCCCTGCAATGGTATCGGGGAGAATATACGGATGTATGTCATACATGCTGTAGACTAGCAGCTTCCCGCTTGTTAAGCAAAACCCTTTCTGTTCATAATGAATTCAAGTTTGACTGTGAGAAGGGAGGGGGGGGGAGTAAAGGGAGGGCGGTGGAGGGAAAAAGCCAAGAAGCAGAATAAAGGAGTTTAATTAAATAAAAGGCCAAAGCTAAATAAAGCCTCATAGTGGTTACACCGCTTACTTCGAGGTCCAGAGCTGCACGACTAACAGAGGCATCCTCCAAGCAGTGCACTTATAATGGAGTGCCTTGACATTTAAAGTTATACTGTAATTCATTATCTGTTTTTCTATTAACTTCCTGTCTGTCTTATTCACTCTAATGAGTTAAGTGTTTATCATGTGTCATTAAGGGAACTAGCTCAACAAATAATAGTTCAAAATCATTGTTAATGTGATTATTAAATATTTAGCACTATGTTGCAGTTGTACATTATGCTGTTCCTATTACAAATCATGAAACCAATCAGTGACAATATAGCGGGGCGGACTGGGACAAACAATCAGCCCGGGCATCTCGTCTTCGGTACCAGTAGTAAATTGTCAACGTCCCGATGGCCAGTCCTCCACTGCCTGGACAGCACTTACGTATTAAATCACCTGTTCTGTAAAGTGCTGAAAGCTAAAGTTGGAGTGTATTCGGCCAGAGCAAAAGTCTGAAGTCCATTAAGTGCTTTTTCTTACTGTGTTTAAGTACAGTGCACTCACCCTCAACCTACGTCACTCGTGCTTACTTCACTTAGTTTCTTCTTACTTTAACCAGAATGCCTTTTAACATTCAGTAGAAACCGGGCCGAACTTGCTTTCATCAGCAGCGTGCTTCTCTTAGCTTGGATCAATAGTGATGGCAGAGGCAAAGAAGGCAGCTTGTACGGTCAACAAGAGGTACAATTCTTACACAACCAGGAAAAATACTTTAAGCTGTGCGGCATTGAGGGCTGCTGCCGGTAGGAAAGCTGGTATTACTGCAGCTTTTTCTGCTCTGCGTAAGCACTGGAAATGGAGAGTCTAAAGAGAAAAAAAACCTTATTCTGTGATCCTGAAGGACAGACACAAAAACCTGATGTTTACCCATTGATGTCTTTGATTCCTCTGTAACAGCGCTGGCAAAAATGTCAACGTGATGTTATGGGGTCAGCAAGACAGGCAAAGATTAAAAAATCGATGGTAGATGGAAAATCTCAGACAGTTGCGAAGCACTGAAGAGTCTTTTTTTCCCTTAATGCTTTTATTCCAAGTACAGATGAAGGACTTTTACGATGAAATAGACCAAATGAATGGTGCTATACTTACCAATAGAGGTACGGTTTGTCTTTATCCACGTTGATGTTGTTGAGTGGATCCTGCCTGAACCAAGTGTTGATAGTGAATCCGTTCTGGTAAGGCCATTTGGCTATTGGTGGCAAAGCTATGGCCTGGACACACACACACACACACACACACACACACACACACACACACACACACACACACACACACACACACACACAACACACACACACACACACACACACACACACACACACACACACACACACACACACACACACCAGATCATGCCAATGTTTAGAGCAATCAATACACCTCTCAGTCAGTCATCACCTCTTGCACTGCTGGAGAAAAGTGCCAATTAAGATGTGCTGACTAACTGCCACGAAAATTACCATGAAGGTGTCTTCAGCAACAAGGGTGCACAAAGATACATTTGCCTAATTGCTTTATAATACTGCTCAAGTGTGTGTGTGTGTGTGTGTGTGTGTGTGTGTGTGTGTGTGTGTGTGTGTGTGTGTGTGTGTGTGTGTGTGTGTGTGTGTGTGTGTGTGTGTGTGAAGATTGGGGATGCAGCCTTCGTCAATTATACCCCAAAGCTAAGGAACAAAATATCTCTAGACATCAGGGAAGCTTTCTCGGTGGCAGACTTTAAAAGGAAGCTCAAAACATATCTGTTCACTTTAGCCTTTTAGGAACCTAACACTTGCTCTCCGCTGTACTTTCTTTGTCAACTGATTTTGTGTTGTTATTATTATTATTATTATCATCCCATCGTTGCCATTATTTCGATTTGTTATCACAATGTCAATTTGCACTATCCTCCTCCTTTTATTGTCATGAATTGTAATCTATATATTTCTATGTCTGTTCCATGCTCTTTTTATGTGTATTTGTATGTATTTTACTGGTAACTGTATTCTATGTGGTGTACATTTTCTGTGACTATCTGTCAGTTGTCTACTGTAAAGCACCTTGGAGTGCAATTGTTGAAAGAACGGTGCTTTAGAAATAAAGCTTATTATTTGATTATATTATTATTATTATATTGGTCAGACTCACCGCTGCACTGCGTCCTGGAAAGTTGAAGAAGGTATCAGGACCGTGTCTCTGAGGCATCTGGTTCAACACTGACAAGAGCTTGATAGCATGTCTTGGCTGGAGGAGAGGAAAGGAGAGGAAAGGAGAGGAGAGGAGAGAAAAATAGGAAGAGAAACGGAGAGGGTCATTATTATTTATAATCTGCAGACCATCAGAGGCACAGCGGGAGCCTCTTTTTAAAGAAAACAACAGAAAACATGGAGTGACATCACATCTCTACCACAACCCCAGTGGATCAATAACTCTTCAATCACCTCCGCCCTCCTCCGACAACACCTCGTCAATGCCATGGCAACCTTCAATCGATCTGTCTCGAGAGGGGGACGCTGGGGGAGGAGGAATTGGAATAGAGTGGGGAATTGGAGCGAGGTGTACGGGCTGATTGTAGTTATCAGAAAGATCTGGATCTGGATCTGGATTAATACTGAGCAGAACCCAGAGGTATCACGCTCAGTGGGGGATGGATGATCCCCGCTAAATGTCTCTTAAAATTTGCCGGAAGCACTCCACGGTTTCTGCGATGACAGCTTCTTCTGGTAGCAAGTTCCACTCTCTGATTGTTCTCGGAAAGAAGGAGTATTTAAGAGTATCACTAGTTGCGAAAATTCGCTCGAAGTTCAAAGAGTTGGCTTTGCAGGTTGCACTTCTTCTAACTGGCTCTAGGTACATTGATGCATCAATGGCTGAGATGTTATGGACAATCTTGAAGAAGAGAACCAAACGAGCCAATCGCTGCCTTTCACTTAATTCCACCCAGTTCAACCGCTTGAGCATTTCTGTGACACTGCTGTCCCATTCATAATCTCCAAAAATGAATCTTGCACCTCTTCTTTGTACTGATTCCAGGGCATCACTGTCTTTATCAGTGTAGGGGTCCCATACCGAGCTGGCGTACTCTAGTTTATAACGTACTAGGGCCACAAAAGCTGTCTCCTTCAGTTTCTGGGGACAGCGTCGCAGGTTCCGGCATAGGAAGCCGAGCGAACGGTTTGCCTGTGTTACAATTTGGCCAATGTGTTGGCCAAATTTCAGGTTGTTATGGATTTCTACCCCAAGATAAGGCTGGTGGGTCACCTCTTTTAACACCTGGCCACATAGAGTATAGTTTTTAATGTGCGGGTTTGTTGATCTGCTTGTTCGTAGGATGTAGCACTTACTAGTATTGAAGCACATTCCCCAAGTGTTAGCCCATTCCTGAAGTCTAGTCAGGTCACCCTGTAGGTCTTCTTGGTCACTTCCATTTTTAATAGGCCTGTAGAGCAGGCAGTCATCCGCGAATAACCGCACTGTAGATGCTACATGTGACGGCAGGTCATTAATGTAGCATAAGAAAAGCAATGGACCCAGCACAGTGCCTTGTGGGACACCAGAGTCAACTGTACTTGATTTCACCCCTTCTACGACTACTTGTTGGCTCCTTTGCATAAGAAAGGTTGTGGTCCAATGAAGTATTGGGCCGGTTATACCCATGTGGGCCAGCTTTAGCAACAGGCGCTTATGTAGGACCGTGTCAAAAGCCTTTGAGAAATCAAGGATTGCCACATCGACTTGCAATTTCTGGTCATGATATTTTGCCAGGTCATGCATTGCGACTAGGAGTTGATTTTCACACGAATGGTTTTGTCGAAATCCATGCTGGAACGGGGTAAGGACATTATGCCTTTCCAGGTGATTCAACAGGTGTTTGCAAATGATGTGTTCCAGGAGTTTACAACATACTACTGTCAGGGAAACTTGTCTGTAATTTGCGGCGGTGTGCCGGTCCCCTTTCTTGAATATAGGCGTAACATTTGCCTGCAGCCAGTCATCGGGTAGATTTCCTGTTTGCAGTGACTGCGTGAATACGCACTTGAGCAGTGGGCCTATTTGGGAGGCCAGCATTTTGAGTATACGATTGGGTAGACCATCTGGGCCGCTAGCCTTGTTAATTTTAATATTTGCCAGTAGTTTGGTCACTCCTTCAGTCGTAATGATCAGGTCTTCTATCTGCGGGGCTGGATCTCCTGATAGAGAGGGCTGGCTACCATCATCCTTAGTAAATACAGATTTAAATTGTTTGTTGATGAGTTCAGCCTTGTCTTTGCTGCTACTGTAGAGGTCTTCACCCTCTCTAATAGGGGAGACTCCAATGTTGTCCGCTCCACACTCTTTGACATATTTCCAGAATAGTCTGGTATTGTTTTCAGCAAGACTCTGGGTGAGTGTGTTTTCGATATAGTCCCAGTGTGCACTGCAAAGGTTTTTTGAACATGTTTCTTGCTTGGCTGCGGCAATTTTCCCATCACGAGTTGTTGCCCTGATCGCTTGCTTTGTTGTATAACCTCTATTTTTATTTTTTATTTTGGCTGTTTCATGCCAGTGACGTGAGCCAAGGGCCAGGTTGCTGCACGTGTGGTTAGCCTGACTGCTTGGGTCCGGGATATGGCTTACTCCGATCTGTGAAAGACATTCGTCTCTGAGCAT